GAAGAACAATTATTAGAACAGTTTAATATTAAAAACCAAAAGATAGATGAATAAGTTATACCAAGATTTTGTTCTAGTATTTTTTGCTTCGTTCGAAGAACAATTTCTTGAACAGTTCAACATTCGCGAACAAATGAAAAATGGATAAGTCATAATAAGATTCTGTTTTAGTATTTTACTTCGTTCGAAGAACAATTTCTTGAAAAGTTTAACATTCTCGAACAGATGATAGATGAATAAATCATAGAAATATTCTGTTCTAGTATTTTACTTCGTTCGAAGAACATTTTCTAGAACAGTTCAACATTCACTAACAAATTACAGATGAATAAGTCACATGAAGATTATTTTCTTGTATTTTACTTTGTTCGAAGAATAATCTCTACAACGCTTTAACTTTCACGAACAAATGATGTATGAACAAATCATACGAAAACTGTATTCAAATATTTTTTTAGCATGAAAATGAGATTTCTATCCCACATTAGCACATCTTAAAGTAAGCCATAGATGAACACGTCTAACAAACATCATATTCACATATTTTATCCAGTCAAATGTAGTATTCACGCTAAGTTTAGATATTGAAAACCTAATGAACAATGGATAAAATCAATAAAAAGAATTATGTTCGAGTATTTTCGTTAATTTAAAGTCACATTTCTATGATGCTAGATAGCTAAGAGATAGTGATTATGAATGTTTCATATTAAGCTATAATTCAGTTATTTTACTGAAATAGATTTGATATTCTCAAGGGAGTCTTTGATCGAAGAATGAACGATAATGAATATTGTGTAGGAAGGATACATACTAATATGTTGAAGAACACATATACTTTATATGTACTAAAATACATAACTTGCTCTCCCATGTAACACAAATTGAGCGAACAAGAGATTCATCAAAATATGTCAATGACTTCAACACAACATTTGTCATTGTATCTCTAATCGAAGATATAATTCGATATATGAATTGTAAAACAATAGTTATATAGAAATATTCTAAATACAGCAACAGAAACTTATATAATGACTATTAGTAGCTATCGTCGCACAGAAAATGAATATTGCACTGATGAGTAGATCCGGGTACGTTTAACTCTTCGAACAAATAGTTTCGTTTTAAATAATGACTGAGTATCTTATGAAAAATGAATATTTCATACTGTCATACTTTGTTCAA